TGTTACAGAAAGGAGCTTTATCTTCTTATTCTTTCACAAAACTGTTCTGCAAAATGGTCTCAAAACCAAACTGTCTTTATTCTGCCTCTGGCAGGTGGAGCTGGACATGTCCCGCAAAGTAGATGTAAGCTTTCAGAAATCAAGCGAGCTATGCTGAACAAAATAAGTGGAGCAGAACTCAGCTGTGTTGACGTTGAGCGCAGTTCACTAAATGAGTTGTATCTATGTCTCTTACAATGAACAAAAAATGAACGCAACACTTTGGTTTTTGCTCCCATTGTTCATGAGCTGAACTCAAAGATCTAAGATTGTTCCTTGTACACGATAAACCTTTTTCTCTCAAATATTATTCACAAATTTGTGTAAATTTGTGTTAGTGAGCACTTCTCTTTTGCTGAGATAATCCATCCACTTCACAGATGTGGCAAATGAAGATGCTGATTAGATATCATGATTCTTACACAAGTATGCTTTAGGCTGGCCACAATCAGAATCAGAATAAGAATAAACTTTATTATAATTGCACCAAAGTACAACGAGAACATATACGTACAGCCGTCCGAAAGATGGACGAGTGCACGAAGCTGCTGCTATAAAGCGCGGCCTTCTTATTCTTATTCAGAATACTTTTTTTTAATAGAAAAAGGGACACAGCCATGAGGAGAGGGTAGTGGCATTACATAAAAGATCTCTTCACACCTTGTACTAACAGGACACGATTTAAGACATTGAAAAAACTCTGCCAGCTAAAGCACATTTATGAACACGTTACACATGCATTTACAAACGAGGCAGTTCATGAAGCCCTAAATAGTCCATTGTCCTGATAAGATAATGGTCAGTCGGCACAGTTCTAATAAGAATCCACAGAAAGGAGGGGAGGGAGGGGGGTTGCGATAGACGAAGCTTCTCCTTAATATACACATTTGACAATTTGATGTCAGCCTGTTCCGAGGCCAGCTGTGGAGAGATTCAGATAACCACAATTGTTGATTTATTCAGGCAGTCTATTTTCCTTGTCAGCCTTGAGTTTGTACTGATAACTTTCCAAGGTCCGAAATGGCCAGATTAGGGTGCATTCCACTGGTCCGTGCTTATGAGCCTCTTCAATATGGTGTTTTCATGCTGACGAGTCCCAAAGCTGCAGGTGGCCTGCGATTCAAATCACTTCCAACTTAACGGTTTCACTCGGAAATCAGCTGATTTTGAGTCTTCCAGCACAAACCAGACCTTCACATAGACAGCAGCTTGTCAAGGTCCAAATTAGCTGCAGTCGTCTTCTTTGTACGTTGATAAGCCAGGATCTAGACTATTCCAAAAACAGGAAATCTGTTATCATAATTCCAGTTATCTGCAATTTCAGCATCCTTGGTTGATAGCAGGTGTAGACACATCCCCCCCAGAGATATATCCAGCTGCACGTCTCGTCCGAGCAGATAAGGGTTCTCCAGGACCCTATCGCTTTGTTGAAAGAATTTGTAATATACGTTGAAAGTCCAGTTAGTCAAATCCAAAACAGTAGTTTCTATTTTGGAAGATGTGTAAAAAATAGGAGCTGCTCCGATACACAGACAGAGAGTAAAAAAGCAGGAGGAGAACAGGGAGCGGGAAGGAATGTGTGCGCCTCACTTGAGAACTAGTAAAGAAAAAAAATGGCTAGGGGTAACAGAGCACTACGTTACAAATGCTAGATCGAAGCCACCTTCGGTGGGGGGATTTGGTAGGCAGGGCACTCGGTTCTGTTGACAGGGTGGGGCGCCCTCCTTGGCTAATGATGGGGGAAACACTTATTAATATATACAGAGTCTGAAGGTGGACTTAAGCTGTTTCTTGATCTTCATGTATGACGCAAATGGGAGGAAGTGGACAGTTATGTGGTTATTATCAGCACAAGAATAATCCTCATGTGATAATCTTCTGAGTATTTGAAAATGTGGAACTTTGGGTGAAAGTTTTCAGCCTCAAAATAAACAAATTTATGTCCAGTAACAGCCTGGGTCATTGGTGTATTTTAATATAGTTTTTAACAAACAAAAGATGGGCATATTTTGTCTAGCTGTGATGATTCAGTTATTAAAATGTGATCAAATGTACTGATGAAAATGACTTACTTGTAGGTTTTTTATGAATGTGTGGATTTCGAGCTGTGCTTTACAGCTTAATAAAGATTTCATTAATATGTCCTAGCAAAAATTCACATGTGTATCCTGCATTCTTTAGCTGGTCTACTGTAAATCAAAGTAACCAGGTGATTTAAATGGTGGACCTATACATACGTGACTGCTCTGTCCATAGTTGAAATGCTGCATGTCAGAAACACACAATCACTTAAGCCTTATTCTAGTTTCCCTTGCAAACGAATCTCTTCATCCTCACAGAGTGTAACCCAAGAAAGGCCAAGGCTACTCTTTATTTTGGAGCCCTTTGGATACAATGACTTTACAGTGACGTAGACTGATGACGGCCCATGCCACTCTGTCTAGGCATTTCTGGAACTGAAAAGCTGCTTTGTGCTGTTCATCAACTCATCCGTGAATGTCCTTCTTAAAAATATTCCTTTCCAGAGCAAGGATCCTACATTTTACAGCATTTTCATTGTTTCTTGGAATTTTATGTTGTTTTTGAGCATAAAGGAAATACACTCACTGATTCTTTTTATTTTTTATTTTGATAGAACAGATGTAGCAGAAATAAAAATAGCTTTATAGTGTAAATAGGTAAATAAGACCCAAATGAAACCTTACATGTTCTTAGCAGCAACACTCAGAACTTCAGCTCTTCAGCTTTGGACTTGTTTCATTGAGTTTTATTTGGAAGATTACTGAGGGTTGCAAAAGTTAGTTGACATTTCTTTTGTTTAGTTGCCTTATTAACTAGATTTTATTTGGATCAGTAAAGTTAAATTGAGGGGAAAAGTTTTAAAGTATTGTAAAACCTTAAAAAATAGTATGTGCTTGTGTGTTCACTTGCCCCAAAGTCAAGATTTAATAAAGCCATACTTTGCTGCAGTTACAGCATGTCTTCCAATATGCCTCCATTATCTTGGTACGTCTAACCACTGGAACATTCTTCATGACCAAAATGCTTCAGCTTGGTCATGTTGGATGGTACTGCTTGTGCTGAGTTATCTTTAAAACAAACCAGAGATTCTCTGTAAAATCCAGGACCTTTAACTGGTCCACCTTAAACTGCTGTGTTGCTTCAGCAGTGTGTTTAGAGTTTTTGGAATGTGAACATCTCAGTCTAAAACATCTGGAAGATTCAAATAGGTTTCTGTCAAGAGCTTCTCTACATTTTGCTCCATTCAACTTTCCTTCATCTCTGACCAGTGTTGCAATACCGGCTGCCAAAATGATCCCAGCAGCATGATGCTGCCACCACCCAGCTTCACTGTGTGGATGGTATTCTCAGCATCAGATGTGTTTGGTTTGCAACAAACAAGATGTTGTCCTTCATAGCAAAGAGTTCAATTTTAGTCACATCTGACTACACCCATCGCCAACCCTGATCTGTTCTTCTCCACGTTTGTCTCTGACCTGTGTGGAAAGTTTATTTGGCTTTGCGCTGTCTCTTAAGGTCGGCTGTGGCTGAGTGGTTAGAGCAGTCGTTCTCCAATGCAAGAGTTGGGGGTTTGAATTCACCAGTAGTCACATGCCAAAGTGTCCCTGGGCAAGACACTGAACCCCTCATAGCCTCTGATGTGTGTCCCATCAGTGTATGAATGTGATAAAGCTCTGATTAGTCTCTGGCTTTAGCTTTGTATAGATCTAGTAGAGTGCTGTATGAATGGGTAAATGATGCACAGATTGTTGTAAAGAGCTTTGAGTATCTAGATAAGATAGAAAGGTGCTATATAAGTACAGTCCATTTACCATCTTGCTTGATGGTAGACTTTACTTACTGTAATATACCATACCATTTTATTTATAGAGCACTTAAAGCAGCTACAAGGCCAACCAAAGTGCTGTACAGACAGAACAACAGACAACACACGAAGCAATATACAAAATGAAGTAAATCAAAAATATAGACATAAAAACGATGCAGATAATAAATATGATGACAAACCAGTGTGGAACTCTCTATACTTAGCGAGATCATTTGACAAAGTATATTGCCCTTAGGCTGATCTTATTGAGGCTTACTGAGGCTTCAACGCAAAAGGGGTGAATACATAT